TTCTCTTGTGTTTTTTGGAAATTCTGTACGGAAGATGTGTACTAGCGCCCCCTACCGTATAACAATGAAAACACGGATTCTAGGAGCACAATTATAGCTAAAATATATTTAGACTTTTTCTAAGTATAAGTCAAGTATACTTAAATGTCATTTTAAGTATATTTCTGAGAAGTACATAAAGCCCATTTCTGAAAAGTACATAAAAAGTAGACTAAAAGTATACTTTCCTATGTTTTAGTTTAAAAGAAGTATACTAATAGTACACTTGAATAAACTTCTTTTTCGTAAGGGTAGCCTAAACAGCTCCAGTAAGACCACTGTACTGAGTGTGGATGATATGGATACTTGGAAGTGAGAGGACATCCGCCATCTAGCTGAATGTAAGAGTGCTTCCCTTCCACTTTGTATTCAGAGCAACATTATTCACAAGAGTGTGAATTTGTGTGTGGATTCATCCTCTGCCTTTCCACATACAAACACAAACCCCATGTGTAGAAAAACATAACCCTCACATTGGAGTTTCCTTCTCTTCTTTAGTTTGACATCGCCCTGTAAATCATCAGGTCTTAAATTTCACTAGCTTTCTGAACAGACACTCTTTATCGTCTTAAATCATGGCTGAAATGACACGATGCTTTGTAGGCATTTTCTTATCTCACCCCAGCCTCCTCCTTTGCACCGTCTGTGTTTTATTTCACTGTTCTGAGCACTCATGCTTGTCAAAATTCCCTATTCACTCCTTGCCAGCCACAAACACTCTCTCTCTCCACTTGCCTAGAGAGGAATAATTCCCTTACACACTAAACAGCATGAATATTTCCCTCAATTTCAATATATTCTGTTATTTTGGGTCTGATTACCATAGACTTTATACAGCAGAAAGATTGTAAATATACATGCTGACTTTCAATTTCCTATTTCCATTTCCACCTCCATTTCTTACCATCTTTGATTATCTCTTTTTTTTCTTCATATTGATTACTCCTGCTGTAATTTGTCTCGGATATTGAAGGGCATAGTCTAAAATTGATGTTTTTGATTTGATGATTGTCAATGGCTGAAGATGACGACTACTATGATGATGATGATGATGATTGTCTCTCACCAGTCTCGTCAGACGCCGGAGGGTGAGTTCCTGCCGTTGGATCAGTGTGAACTGGATGTGGGCTTTGGAACAGGTGCTGACCAACTCTTCCTGGTTTCTCCCCTCACCATCTGCCACGAGATCAATCCCAAGAGCCCTTTCTTCGACCTGTCCCAACGCTCGCTCATGAACGAGCAGTTTGAGATTGTCGTCATCTTGGAGGGCATTGTAGAGACAACGGGTGGGTAGCATTTTTCACTCCATTCTCCATTTCTTTCGGAACATAATCTGGCTTGACACAATTGTTCATTTACAATTTTGCTCACATGCCTTCAGTGATTTTACACAGTAATTTTTTTCTAGATTTCATGTAAAAAAATATCAGTTACACTTTGCAATAAGGTCCATTAGTTAATCTTAGTTAATGCATTTACTAACAATAACTAACAATGAGCAATACATTTGTTAGAGTGTTTATCTTTCTTAACGTAAATTAATAAAACTACTAATAACTGTTCATTGTTAGATCATACTTATGGAAGTACCATCAAAAATTGACTTATATCTTGCAATTCTGACTGTTTTTTTTTTTCTCTCAGAATTTTGACATCTCACAATGCTATTTTCTTGTTTTTGCCACAGAATAAAAAATAAAACAAGGTAATTGTATTTTTTTTCCTCAGAATTCTGAGCTTACATTTAGTAATTCTGTTTTTTTTTTTTTTCACCACAGAATAAAAAAAGGAAATTTTTTATCAAAATTTTTTTCTCAGAAAGAATTAAACTCAGAATTGAGCTATAAAGTCAGAAAAAAAACAGATCATAAATGATGGAAAGAAATGGAGGCAGAAATGGAAATAGGAAGTATGAATGGTAGTCACAACCAAAATAACAGAATATATTCATAAATGATTTAATATAAGTTTTTGCATTGTTAGTTCATGTTAACTAATGTTAACAAATGAAACCTTATTGTAAAGTGTTACCAAATTAACTTAACATTATTCAAAAAAAAAATTTTTCTGACTGTTTTTTTTTTCTCTCAGAATTTTGACATCTCACAATGCTATTTTCTTGTTTTTGCCACAGAATAAAAAATAAAACAAGGTAATTGTAATTTTTTTCCTCAGAATTCTGAGCTTACATTTAGTAATTCTGTTTTTTTTTTCACCACAGAATAAAAAAAGGAATTTTTTTATCAAAATTTTTTTCTCAGAAAGAATTAAACTCAGAATTGAGCTATACAGTCAGAAAAAAAACAGATCATAAATGATGGAAAGAAATGGAGGCAGAAATGGAAATAGGAAGTATGAATGGTAGTCACAACCAAAATAACAGAATATATTCATAAATGATTTAATATAAGTTTTTGCATTGTTAGTTCATGTTAACTAATGTTAACAAATGAAACCTTATTGTAAAGTGTTACCAAATTAACTTAACATTATTCAAAAAAAAAATTTTAAATCCCTAAAAAAAAGAATATTTTAAGATGTCTTTTCATTTTTTTTTGACAAGAATAAAACAAATGTGCCAATGACAGTTACATTTTTTAAAGATGTATTCTCTGAAAACAAGTCATGCCAATTTGCTTCTCAAGTAAATTTATCTTGTTTTAATGACGTTAAGATATTTTACTGGAAAAATGGTTTGTTTGTTTTTTTGGGGGTTTTTTTGCAAGGTGTTCATTTGTCATCATTCATGTTCATTTATCAGATCTAATTGAACATATCACTTTTCTCACACTTTCTTTGTATTTTTTAACCTTGTAAACTGTGATTACATCTCTGTATTCTTCCTCACACCCCTCAGTCCTGGTTTTCTATTGGAATGGATGCAGTAGGTACAGTCAGGTCAGTGGGGGTGATGAGTGGGTTGTAAAAGAGTGTCTTTCTGTACCCGTGCTGTTAGCAGTGCCTTCTGCATAATAGTTTTTTTTTTCCAGTCACATGCTTGTCAGTTTGATGTATGAGCTTCAAACCTTGCTTGAGTTTGATCTGTTCCTTGTGTCTTTTATGCAAGCAGAGTGCGAAGAAGGAAAGTAACTGGAGAAGGCAGGATAGGATTTTCTTTTGAGGATGTGAGAGAAAGAGAAAGCGAGAGCAGTTCTTTTTGCATTCTTTTTCACTGCACAAATAAACAAAAATATAATTAGAACTTCCTTTCCTGTCTACTTCTCACCTTTTCAATCAAATATGATTCTCATTTCAATTTTAGGGGTGTTTTCTAACCATCACTATTACTAGTGGCTATGTTTAGGGTTAGTGATTTGAACAGTCGCCCTAAGTATTAAGCTCTAAGTATTAAACTTTGATGCATAACTCATCTGACACAGTTTCTGCTACAAGAAGGACACCTCAAGTCATTGGAGTGATGCATGCTATGAACTGCATTTTTAAATGATATGATTTATCTAACAAGAAATTAAATAAAAATACCTCATATTATTTTGCTCTGCTGACTTGAGCTAGTAAACGACAGTGTTATTTCGGTAGCATTTCTAATATATTGTTTTTATTTATACTAGTATTTATGAATATGAATAAATTATTAATAATTGGTTTTTATTTATTTTTATTTTATATTTATTAAATTCTTTCCGTTTTATTTATATAGCTTTAATTAGTATTTATTTCAGTTTTAGTAGTTTTAGTAATTTTAGTACTTAAAACTCCTAAACAATATAGAAATATTGCCTTGGCAGCTAACAAGTTTAAGTTTTCCAAAATATATATTTTTTCTTTTATTTCAGCTTTATTTCAATTAAAGAAACACATATTTAATTACATTTCATTTTCATATTGAGAGTAATAAATAAAAGAGGCGATAATAACAATGTATTAACAAGGAAGCGCATCATTGCACTAAATACCCCTCAGCATACCTTGGCAATGCAACTCTCTGGAAACCACCCAGTACACCCTGTATTGTAGCAGTGAGTGTAAGACGACTCCTGTTTTATAATTATTCATATATTTATAATTATTTCTTTTACTTTTTTCACACTTTCTTCATCTAACCTTTCAGAAGAAAACAGGAAATTTAATTCAGCTTCAAGTGTTATTACTTCTTTCATTGTAAACCTCTGATCAAATGGAAACAACTTGCAGAGGGCCTTTAAATTTGAACTCTCGCTTTCTCTGAGAAATGATATGAGATGGAGACAAAGCGAGGAAGGGTATTACATAGCCTCTGTGTCAGCGATGCTCGTTATTACAGGGGTAACAGCAGTGACAACAGCAGACACAAACACACTCAAACGCACACTTATCAAGCGTATCAGTGCACACTAGAGGAAGGCTCCTGGTAAACCATTTATTCATTCACTATTTCATTGAGTAATTAATTTCTTGTCAGGCCAGTAAGAGGTGCAAACTGTCATGTGGTGATTTAAAACAGTTAACCACCCTGCTGATCGAGAGCTGAGGTCTGCCATGTACTCATAAGTGCTTATTGATCCACTGAAGCCCTGGACACAGACAGAAATGTCAAGTTAATCATTTTACACAGTGATACAAGACAAAGCCACAGCTCTGTATCACTTTAAGGGCTTTGCATGAACCTTTACAGCTCACAGAATTTAAAAGTCTCATTTTAATTTGCATCTTCTCTTTGTATGCCCTAATAAGAAACAACAAAGAACGGAATATATGTGCAATTTAGTCAAATAGACTAAACGCATGTGTGTAAGCGGGAAGTATGAGGCTTCTTTTAATCAATACCATAGATCAGACCAAAGGAGACGACCGAGAGACTCTAATTATGTATGCCGACAGAGTATTGCGCAATGAAGAGTCTTACTTGCTTTAAATGAGAGCTTTAAAAGCTACTTTCAGTAGTGCAGTGAACTGCAGTGAAGCCATTGATACGTTCGCAAAACCTCTTCCAGCATAGATCCATCATTTAAGCCTTTAGATGAAGCCATGCCACCCCATTGCTCCCGCTCAGCATGATCACTCCAGCAGCAAAATATGGGATTTTCAGTGTGATTAATGTCACATAAACTGGTTTAATTACTTGGGATGATGTAGTGCCAGCAGAAACACTCTTAGAGAGCGAGTTGTTATGATCTTCATCCTTCATTTTTGTTCATGTTTCATAATAGTTGCTGCTAATTAGTAGGTTATTTAATGATAATAATTTAATCATGAGCAGGCCCACACAGAAGCTCTGCAGACTTTGAACACCTGTCACTGATTAATTTTTACATTTCCCCTGCCTTTGCATATTTGTATATTAAATATTTGGCTAATTTGATGCTTTCAGTTTCAGTCCCAAGGCCAGTTTAACACATTTTACCATGTTTAAATCCATTCTGTAGAAATATGCATATTTTTCCCAAAATCAGCACTAAAACTGCTAAAAGTCTGCAAAAGCCTGGGTCTGATTGTGAATAAATAATAATGTTTAAAATTTAGGCATTTCGGGCAGGGACACCGGCAAAGGACATAAGTATCGCTTTTTATCTCTCCTCTTTCCACTTCTGTTTCAGTTTTTTATATAATCTCACTAATGCTCTGAATATCACTAATGATTCAGGCCAAAAAAAAAAAAAAGTGCTTATGTGATATTGCTTTTAAACAACAGTTCAATAAACAATAAGTTCAAATTGAGTAACTTAGACACAGTATTATTGGTTACTTTGTGAATTTTTTAATCTACTAACTGAAATATTTCCAAACGTTAGAATCCTGTCTCAGAGCAACACACAGTTGCACACTGGTGTTTTGTTCCAGAATGAATCAGTGGCTTTGAACAAGTCATTTGAATGAATGATTCAGTGTCTCACACATATTCACTTTTTTGTTTATGAATAAAATGTCATTTTTAATAATAAAAAAAAAACTGAGTGAATGATTCAATGACTCACTCATGATCACTTGTTCGGTACAGGAATGAATCAGTGTTTTGAATAATTTGGTTGTATAAATGATTCAGTGACTGACTCATAATCACTTGTTTTGTTCAATAATGAATCAGTGTTTAAAACAAATCGTTGCACGAATGATTTAGTAACTCACTCATAATCACTTGTTTTGTTCATAAATGAATACTTTTTTTAACAAATCAGTTGAGTGAATGATTCAATGACTCACTCATGATCACTAACTTTGTTCATGAATGATTCGGTATTTTTTTAATGAGTAAATGATTCAGTGACTCACTCATAATCAGTAGTTTTGTTCAAGCATGAATCAGTGTTTTGAACAAGTCATTCGAGTGTCATACTGTCATTATTATTTAATGACTCACTTATGATCACTTGTTTTGGATCGCAAATCAGTTCAAGGACACATTCATAAAACACACTAAACCACCTACATATCGATGTAACCAGCAAAAACAAAGACACTAAAATGTCCCCACCACTACACAAGACTGACAGTCTCAGCCAATTAAATCGAGCACTGGAACTATTGCATAATATAAGCACAGCCTAAACACTATTCTGTTTGTAATGACACAAATGCTACTTCAGTATGACAGCATACATTTTCCATTTCTCTTTTTATTTACTGGTTTATGCCCATGAAAATAATAATTCCTCTTCTGCAGAAAATGAAAACAACAACAGAAAAACAAAGCATTCTTTAGGAACACCAATTGTTTTGTGATTACTCTATTGATTGTTTTTAATTTTATTGTGGAACAGATTGGATTTTCAGTCTTCCTGGATGGTTTATAAGCGAAAGAGCCCGGCCTGTAAAGCTATGGCTCGGGCTGTGTTTATGACTCACTGAATGGCCCTCTGGCTGAATTATGGTTGCAGAAGTCTTAAAACTTGCATGGCCTTCTCACGCACATTATGTACTGAGAGTCTGTAAATCACATTCTTGGAAGAACAGGGCAGCATAAATCATTCACATGGCCAGGCTAACCTGACAATGAAAGCCTCCTTATCTCTAATACATTTTGACCATAAACCTTTCCTCTCCATTGTAATGCTTATGCTGTTTCTCACAGGTATGACATGTCAAGCTCGTACCTCGTACACAGAAGATGAGGTGTTGTGGGGTCACCGCTTTCTGCCCGTCATGTCTCTGGAAGAGGGCTTCTTTCGGGTGGACTACTCCCAGTTTCACAGCACGTTTGAGGTTCCCACGCCACCCTATAGCGTGAAAGAATATGAGGAGAAATCCTCGCTCCCCTCCCCCCTGGTCACACCGCACCGGGAGCGAGTGTTTTCCATGGACTGCCTGGAAGCAGGTGAGGAAGGGGCACATCCTGGAAGCGCTTCTTGCAAGCTGCCCAGCAAACTTCAGAAAATGAGCTCGTCTGGTAGAGAAGATCTGCAGAGGAAGGTACTACGCTTGAGCTTGCAGCAGTCCGAAAAGGCTTCGAGCACGGGGGACCTTCCTCTTAAACTACAACGCCTCAGCTCCAGCCCTGGACAGGTTGACGGAGAGGCACGATTCCACCTCAAAGCCCTCAAAGTGGGTTTCCAGCCCATGGCCATGTCCACGGGAGACCTCCACCTGAGAAGTCTGCCTCCCACCCCAGCGGCCATCCCCACACACACCCACGGTCCTCCACACACGCCTGGTGGCCGACCAGAGGACAACCTGCCTCCCAAATTAAGGAAGATGAATGCAGATCGCTGACCTAGAAGTGCTTTTGAAACTTTCTCCTAATCTGAGAGCAGTTCACAGTGTTTATGTACAATGAGCATGGACAACTACATCCAGATTAGAGCAAAATTATTGTTTTGCTTGGAACTAAATAAGGACTCTTGTAGAGTAACGGTAACATGTCAAGTATTAACTTTCTGACTGCACAATGAATGATTGCAGTGGCTTGCAGAGACAAATACATTTATACAAAAAAAATGTATAAATGTATTTTTAATTAGTATTTTTGACTTATTTTACAGTAAAGGATCTAAAAATCCTTGAAAAACAAAATATTTATTTAAAAAGTTAAATGCCTAAAGATCCTGGAAACAAAATAAACCAGATAAAAACACTTGAAACGAGATACATTTACATTTAAGACAACACATCATGTACTGTATACACTAAAAGTTTGGTGTCAGTAAGATTTTTTTATTTCTTTTTAAGAAATTAATACTTTTATTCAGCATGGACGCATTAAATTGATTAAAAGTGACGGTGAAGAAAATTATAATGTTACAAAAGTATTCTATTTCAAATAAATGCTGTTCTGTTGAACTTTCTGAATCTGAATCCTAAAAAAATAAGTATTGCGTTATCCACAAAAATACTGAGCAGCACAACTGTTTTCAACATTGATATTAATAAGAAATATTTCTTGTCCAGCAAATTAGCATGCTAGAATAATTTCTGAAGGATCATGGGACACTGAGTAATGACTACTGAAAATTTAGCTTTATTATAATTGGAATAAAATACATTGTTTAATACAAGTATTAAAATCGAAAACTGTTGTAATAACAGCTTTAAATTGTAATGATATTTCACAATATTACTGTTTTTACTGTACAAATAAATGCACCCTTGGTTAACAAAAAGAGCTCCTTTTAAAAAACATAAAATGTTACTGATCCCAAACTTTTGGGGAAAATACACTTTAATTAAAGATACTTTCTTTGAAAACAAGTATGAATATCTTAAGTATTGTTGATTCTCAAGTAAATTTCAATGATTTTTTTTTTCAGATATTTTAGCTGTAAAATTTGAAAAAGTACTGTTTTGCCATGTGAGAACTAGTTGGAGATACATAACTAATAGAAAGCACAAGAGGTAACATTTAATTTGTATTATTATTTTTTGTCATTTGTATTTTTCTTTCTTTCAGCACAGAACTCCAGCTGGAAATACTGTGATTTGTATTCTTTAGTTGTTTACTGGTGACTGTATATGGTCGCCCAGTGTGTCTCACTCACACACTTAGTGATATCACAAATATACACAATTACAATATGTGCATGCCTACTTCTCATCTCTAGCTGTATATCATACAACCCTCTGTTATCCCTAGTCAAAATGAATCAATTCCATTCAGCTGCAGCATGGTGTGTGTTTAGTAGTCTCTCTGGTACAGAAGAATCAAAGATATATAAATATATATATATATATTTAAATATATATACACATCTCTGGTACATACAACTATAGAGTTTAGTATTTAAAAGTATTTTATAAAATGCTCTCATGTGACGTTTTAATATGCACTAAAGGTCATTACATTGCCATTAAAGAGGATGCATTATGTTGAATTAATCATTTCATCCTCAAGTCCAAACAGCTTGTTCATTAATAATGTCTGTAGAATCTTGTACTTTAATTAAAAATTAATGCATTTGTAGAATGTTTAATGACCATTGGATTTTGACACTGGCAAAGAGAGAAATTCTGTAACAAATCATCAAATGGACACAACGCACTTCTTGTGGAGTCATGCATGTCATGAAAACTGATGGAAAATACTTTCCATCAGAAAATGAAATTCATAAATTCAGTCAATGCATTAAACTCTGACAATGCCAGGATGCAATCATTAGGCTGGTAACATATTCATATTCAAGCAGTCTTTCTGTCACCTTGTTTGCTGCGTGGGGTGAACTTTTGATGCCCTAATCATTATCTGTGGTGAGAAAGAAACACATTAAATGCCCATTTTGTCTCAAAATGATCCATTAAGACCTTTCACGGTGATTGGTTGAGAGGATAATCATTGTGGGGTTTACTGGTGATTGAAAGCGTAGTGATTGGTTGGCAGAGTAAGTAATTAGAGAACTCATCAGGTCAAACAGGATTGAATGACTCAAGCAGTTACATCAAAGCACATAAAGATATGAATACACATAATATATATATATTTTTAAAGAATGATCAAGGAAAGAAAAATTGTGTCAAAATAGTAATATTATTAATGGTGAATGAAATGGTGAATGAAAATGAGACATCTTCAAATAAATCTACTTCAAAACACACATCAAGTAGGCTATTCATGATAGTTTGATGCAATGTAAAAAAATAAAAAAATAAAAACATTTATACTTTGTTCAGCAAGGATGTTGATTAAACAACTCTAAAAATGTCAAGTGTTGTTGTTACCATTATTCATGAGCTAAAATACTGCCTAAGCAGTATATCAAAGACTATAGAATGCCTTAAAGAGACTTTGACTGAATACATTTATGTGTGACGCATGCTCATTGATATTTTGCAAATGTTAGAAAAGAAAAGAAAAAAGTCAAGTCAAGAATCAGGAACTAACCCTGCCTTTTCATAAATGGCCATAACATTTAATTAATTTAAATATGTAAGTAAACAAAATAAACAAATTCATACATACATACATACTGTATATACATACATAAAATACTTACCTTGACACACAGTCCTAAGGGTTAGAAACAGGGCCTAAAATTAACACTCGCCAAGTGCCAAATGCGAGTAAAAATCAGCGTTAGCGAGTATATGGCGACTGACACTGTTACATACTTCATTAATAATATACTACTTAGTAAAAAGATGCCATTTAAACATATTTAAAATATACTATCTTTATGTTGTGTGAAATTGTGACTACAAATATGCGATTAATCATGATTAATTACAGACAAATGTGTGATTAATTATTTTTTTAATCGATTGACAGACAGCACTAATGTTTCCGATTTCAATTTAATTTCTAATTTTATAGGTCAACCCAGAAAGAGATCGGGACGGCCCCCACCCCCTTGGCCCCCTTCAAATTTTCAGTTTGATAATTCGGCCCTCAAATGAAGCTAATTATATAGCCCTGCTCTAATCTGGTAACATGAGTGCGGGAAAAAAAATGCACCACATAAGCACTGCAAACTGAGTATGTGTGAAACAGGTGTAACACGATGCTCCGTTTGCTGAACAAGAATCTCAACATTTTTTAGGGGGAAAAAAAAAAATATATAGTCTTTTGATTATTAATTATTATTATTATTTATAATAATAATATTATTAATAATAATTATTATTATTATGAAATATATCATTTACAAACTGTTTTTCTTTTAAGTAGTAAAAAGGTTTTATAGCCGTCTTATATGAGTTCTTATATTTGATAATATATGGACAGGTACAACACCTAGATATTTGTTACTTTAAGCCCCACAAAATATAAGTAAAACCATTTTAATTAATAAATTGAAAACATTATCATCATGGAGAATGGGTTTAAGAGAAAGAAAGAAAGAAAGAAAGAAAGAAAAAGAGTGGTTTCAGCACCATGGACATGGCTCTGTGATGACTGTTTGAATGAAAAGCATGTCCATTTAACACCTCTGCTCTGCAGAAAATAAGCGAGAGAGAAAAGCTGAGAAGGGTTGAAAGGTAAAGATTGAAATACAGGAGGGACAGAGAGAGAGAAAGAGGTCTCCACCGACAGAGCTCAGATGGTGAATGAGTTACAGGTTTCACCGCAAAAGTGACATATTGCAGGGACACAGAGAGCTAAAAGGTGAGAATGAAAGATAGAAGACCAAAGTAAACTGAAAAGTATTGAGAGAAGGTGTGGGGTAAGGTGGCTGCCTATGCCTTTGTATTTTGTATATGTATATACATGTGCCTGTGTATATACAATCAAACATATTTATGGAAATAAATAAAGACAAATCACATGTGTTAGATTATCAAAAAAAAAAAGAAATCACCTACTATACGTGGTAACTGGCCATGCAGGTGCATAAACATTAAAACCTAAATAACTAGAGAGATTCATGTCATGTTATTTAAAATCTTTACACCTTTCATATTAAAACAGGTGCAGAACGTCATTCTTGAGAGACTATCCAGACTACATCATGTTACTCTTTTCATCTTTTCACATCTGAGTTTCAGAAATGACAGTTTTCTCCAGCTCATCTCTCACAGTGTCTAAAAGCTGAGGAGACTAATAACGCTGACAGACTGCTGGTGTAAAAATACCTCTGACATTAAAGTTTCAGAAGAACTTAGAAGGGTGAAGGAAAGGAATAGGACATGAAGATTCAAACTCTCTGAAAGAATTGATGAAGGTGAAGGATTAATCTGGACAGTGAGACAGCAGCGTTCAGCTGTCTCCCAGGAGTAGTTAATAATCAAGACTGGTAATGATTAAGACCTTTCACGCTGCACTCTGGAACATTCAATGCTGATTGGTCAGTCGCGGAATTTGTCAGTCTGATATTTCCTAATATTCATTGTCCATGGCAATACTGACGACAGAGTCAGACACTGTACTGTGTTTTGTCGCTAGACTGATTGTTTAGTACATTGTTGTGGATTTCTTTTCTTAGCTATTCATTATTACAAAACAATATAGGCCTAATTATAACTATTAAAGTAATAGTTCACACAAAACTGAAAAAAAAAATGCTGAAAATGTACTCACTCTGACAAGATAAATGAATTTGCTTCTTCATCTGAGCAGATTTTGAGAAATTTAGCATCACATCACTTGCTCACCAATGTATGGAGATAGAAGTGTTGCATAATTCCAAATAAATAGATTATGATAATAAATAATAAATGTAAAAAAAATAATAAATATTTCTAAATATCTAAAAAAGCCACATATATTTTTTCCTCCCCAAACAATGGCAACTTTGTAATATTTTAAACTCATTTTTGAAAATAGTATTTATAATCCTTTAAACATTGTTAGATCCACATAGCTACATCATTAAACGGCTTGACTGAAAAACTGGGAAAAGCTGTTGGCTGTTGTGTGACGGCAATTTAACCTATTACACTCGTATGTTTATCATGAGGTTGAATCCAGTTATCCGTCAGTTACTTATTGATGCTTTTCTTTCCATCTTGAATAACATGAAGCTTCCATAACGCATCTG